AGAAGGAACAGTCTGGGATCATTTGGTGATATAAAAAAAAAGTCTTTAGCATTGGTCTTTTCTTTCTTCTTCTGTTTTTACTTAAAGTCAACTGGGTGGTTGTTCAAAAGTATTTAAAATGGCGTTACTCCTGGAGGAATTGAAGATGAGTCTTAAAAAACAGAAAGAAGATGCAGAAAGGGGAGGATGATCCTTTGGCTTCGTATTTGAATTTCTTGAAATGGAGATCCTGAACTATGACAAGCAAAAGGAAAAGCTTCAAGAGCAAGAAGAAGGGCGGGACAAAGAAGAAGCCATTTTCAATGATCAAATAATTCAAAGTGTGGTAATAAGGGGGAAAGGGGGGAAAGGAGTTAAAAGTTTGAGATTAAAGGAAACAGCCAAAAAGAAAAATAGTCTGGAAAGAAAGTATAACAGCAAGGAGAAGCAGAAAAGAAAACCACAGAAGGTAAAATTAGAGAGAGAAGGGTATAAAAAAAGGGATGAGAAAAAGAGGGGAAGATAGAAAGGGAAAGAACTTATGAGGGACAAAAGCAGGAAATAAAGAAAAAGGATTAAAGGTATTTGCTCAGCTAGAAAACACAGAGAATGGCTAAATTAAGTTAAAAGTGAGGATTCTGCAAAGGTACAAAAGATAGTGGTGTGACAGTAGAATACTGTAATGAGTTAGAAATGAAATAAGTAAATCTATGAGATAAAACTATTGTTATGTAATGGTACGTTTATAATTAATGCAATAATAAAGAAGAGAGGGAAACGTAATTGTTTCTAAAGATTGACAAAATATTGAAAAGAAATGTGAAAGATTTATAAGGAAATTTATACCAGTTACTAGAATGAATTTGAATAATTATTTTGCTTATTAATAGTAAATAACTTATAAGATAAAACTGTATGATTATCCAATGGTATGCTTATTGACAGTTAAGTAATAATGAAGGGAGGGAAATATTTCAACTGTTCTCAAAGATTGATAAATATTGAAAAGAAACATGAAAGATTTACAAGGTTCATACCAGTACTAGAATGAAGTTGAATAACTATTTTGCTCACTAATGTTTATATATATATGTATGTATGTATGTATATATGTATATATATATATTTGCTATGTTTTTAGAATTTTTCTTTTTACATTTTTAAGGGGAAGTACAAAGCAGAGTCTGAATGATGAGATTTACATGATATAAAATAGATATTAGAAATTTGAATGTTATAATTTTAGAATGCATAAATTTAATGTTTAATGAAATTTTATATGATAATAACAATAAGACTTAAAGGTGTTACACTCCGATTGGCAATCATAGAGGGAATTTTTTAAGAATGTTGGAAGAGAACATAATGAAATTGTAAACAAGACAGACAAAGTATAAGTATAATGAATAAAAAGATATAGAAATTTAGGTAAAAGAAATACAATTAAATAAGAAGAAAATGAGATAATCATAAAAGAAAATGTAGTATTTTATGTCTCTTTTTCCAGCAGCAAATACTAGCTAATATAGTGATATATGCTACTGATTATGTTGATGTAAATAATTTCTTAAATTACATAAAGTATCAGCAGCCTACATTTTCAGAAATGAATCAATTAGTCCTTAACTTACAATGGTTTGTCAACATAATGTTATAATAGTCTTAGAAAAAACTATTACAAAGTCATATTTGAAGTTAACCATCACAGCAGCCCCACTAGCATGTGATTGCATTTCAGTTACTTGGCAACTAGCTTACATTTACAATAGTTGCTGCCTCTTGCGGTCATGTGATTGTGGTCTGTGACTTTTCCAGCTGACTTTCAACAAGCAAAGTCAATTGGGGAAGCCTGATTTCATTTATCCACTGTGTGATTTGCTTAACAAGAAAACTGTGGTAAAAATGCTTGTGAAATTGGTCAGGGCATGTAATGATTTGCATTACAACCACACTGATCTAGAGCAGAAATTTCAACTGTAAGAGGACTACTTGTTAAAAAAAACTATTTACTAGTATTTATATTGGATTTTCTTACCTGTAGAAACTATGTAAGCCATTTATTTGGTTTCATGTTAAGTAAAAGGCAAGATAAACAAAGGATGGAAACTAATCAAAGATCTAACCTAGAATTAAGAAGTAATTTCCCGACAGTGAGAACAATCAACCATTGAAATGGCTGTCCTTCAGAAGAGACTGGACAGCTACCTATCTGGAATGGTACAGGGTCTCCTGCTTGAGCTCCGGGTTGGACTACAAGACCTCTAAGTTCCCTTCCAACTCTGTTATTTTGTTCTGATACACCAGAGCTGTCAAACTACCGGCCTTGGGGCCAGATGCGTCATGTGCTGGCCATGCCCACACCTAGTTTAAAGAAGGAGGGGAAAGTCCTGATACATCATGTGATGCTGCCATGATGACATGAGTTTGACACCCCTGTAATATACCCAAGAAACAATAGGAACACCTAAAGTGTCTTATGTGCCAGTTTTAGGAGGTTATTTTAGCAACAAAAAATGCAAATTGTTAGAACTGCTAAGGAATGCTCAAAGTAGAAGACTAGTCAGTCTTACATACTTGTTTGCTAATGCACAGAGAACTTTACTTCTACTGCACCCTGCTTAAATTGGATGCTGCTTCTGCACGAGCAGTTTCCAATGCAATATGAAAGCGAAAGACTGCATAAAGATTCCTGCGATTTCACTGTAAACATAGAAAACTGCTGGCTTATCTTTCCATTTGTCACTTTTCTTTGTAGGCGTTTTGCTCTTGATGTTTCCTCATTTCCTTTTTCTGTGGAAGATGCCAAACTACACTCTCTTCAGCTGCTTCCAATACATGAATCAGGTACATTTCTGAACCTACATTGTCATTATGGAAGTTGTGGAAAAATACATCCCATTTCCAATATTATATTACCATATGATAGACAAAGCTATAGCTTATAATGGGGAAATATTTTCAATAAATACCATATATTGATAGCAAACTTTAATTTCAGTAACCTAAGAATTTGGGTCAGAGTAATATTTAAAATAGCTTTTTTGTGAGAATTTCAGAATCATAAATCCAATCAAATTGGAATGCTGTGGCAATTTAGAAATTTATATAAATTCAGTTGAAAGTTTCTAGGGGCTACATTTTTTTTTTAATGGTCTGTTTTGAATTCATTTTTTACTTTAAAATTTTCTTTGAGTTACAGATTGTAACATGATGTAACAAAGTTGAATGCAATAAGAGAAGGATATGTTGATTATGAGAAGAGATTATAGGAACAGTCTGGGTTGTATTCAGGCTCATACCAACTTTGTCCACTCTTTGCATCCAATTAATGGCAAGGTCCAAGGATCAGATACAGTTCCTGTTGATCTTTTGGGTTTAATGCCAAACTCACCAGTGTAATATCAATTGAATCTTACTGAACTGGGCTGAAAATCTTGGTATCCTGGCGTTTTGGTATTTTGTAATGTGATGTCACATATGGTCTTTTCAAAAATGTCTTAATTCTATGCCATACACATGTTAGTTTTCCAGGATATGCAGAGGTTTTTCACTATACTTTCAGTTTCTGGATTATTTTTTTAATTGTTAAAATTGCAGGGCTCTTGGACTCAGCTCACAAAACAGCTCCTAATTCATATATATAAATGTTAATCTAGTTTTAGATGTGGCTCAGTGGCTATGACGCTGAGCTTGTCAATCAAAAAGTCAGCAGTTTGATGGTTTAAATCCCTAGCACCGCATAACGGAGTGAGCTCCCGTTACTTGTCCCAGCTTCTGCCAACCTAGCAGTTAGAAAGCATGTAAAAATGCAAGGAGAAAAATAGGGACTTTGGTGAAAAGGTAACAGTGTTCCGTGTGCCTTCGGCATTTAGTCATGCCGGCCACATGATCATGGAGATGTCTTCGGACAGTGCTAGCTCTTCGGCTTTGTAATGGAGATGAGCACCGTTCCTTAGAGTCGGGAACAACTAGCACGTATGTGTGAGGGGAACCTTTACCTTTTAGATGCACTAATGTTACTAATGGTAATTTTGCTCCAGAATCAATTGGAGTTTAGAGCATGTGAGAAAGCTCTGCAACAGATTGTTGCACCAAGACACTAGCCAATCTGTCATGTTTCCTTCTTCCAGGATGTTCCTATTGTGCTTTTGCTTTTATTTTCTCCCATCAGAATGCCAGAATTCTGGGTCCACTAAACATACTCAGTCCTCATTAGGTTGTATGCAGGGAATTTTTTTTTTCCTCCTTGGAGTTTTCCACAAGGTTTCTCTGGCTTTTGTATTTCTGTAAATTTCAGATTCTTTAAGCCTTCTGATTTTTTTTTTATATGGCACCATTTTTTGCTGGAGTTGAATTGATGTTATGGAAAGCTTGTTAGCATATATCTTCCTTCTCAAATTTGATGGTTTCTTTGTGTGCATTCTGCAGAGACACTTGAATAAGTGCCATACAAATCAAATGTATCTTCTTCATTATCATCATCATCATCCCACATTACATTAGCCAGCCCCCTAAAATTCATATAATTCAGAATTTCTAAAGTTGTTGCATTGAGAGAAGGCTCAAGAATTGCAGCTCTTACCTAATATCTGGCGCTAGATGTTCTCTTTTCTTTTTTTTTTCATCTAGGGACTTATGTCACGGCTAAGGAAGGAGATACAACTAAACAAGAATTCCTGAGTTTGTTTTGCTTTTTCTCTCTACCACATGTGGCATACCTATACACAATCAATAATTTAGTGGAACTTATTTCTACCTACCAGTATTCAGAAAGATCCCAGCAAGCAGTTCTTACACCCCAGTTCCTGCATGTGATTACAAGGTATCACATTTGATTGTTTATCATCCTTCATAAAGGTCCAGAACATTCCACCAGCAGTTCAAGTTCTGTGTTGAGAAATGGGTTGCAGAGTTTAAGCACAGCTGGCCAAGAATATGTATTAATAAAAAAGCATTTATTTTTGGTTCGCCAGATATACGGGACAACATTCCACATGGTGCAACATGAAATGGGGCAGGAATTTAATGCTGGAATGAAAGAAGTTTTATTTTAGAAAACCCTTCTTTAGAATCTATGTCTCTAGCTGATTAGTTCAAACACTAGTTCTATATATTTCACAGAGTATTGTGTTTACAGTGTTACGCACTCAAGATTGTTAATTAAGATTGTGTTTTCCTCAACGTGATATTCAACCCTTAAAATTATCCTGCTTGCATAGTCTTTTAGGAGTTGTGGTTATAACACATCTGGAAGGTAACATATTGGCAATGAGCTGATGGATATATTCCAGCCTAATTCCTCTTTATTTTTCTACTTAGCAACAACCTGCAGTGCTTTACAGTGAGATGCAGTGCAGCAGCAGCTCGGAACCAAGACCCCTACACTGATACAACATTAAAGGTGCTCAGATTGATTTCTGAGATTAGCTTTTGTTTGCTTCCAGAATCCATGCAGCCTTAATTGTGATGTAAAAGTAGGCAACCTTTTGGCAGCTTTAGACCTAAATTTAACATTTCTTTAGGACAAGAATCATAGGGAGCACCACCCTGACTCTTGCCCTTCCAGGGGTCTAAAAGAAAAGTTCTTCTATACCTCTAGACAAGACCAGAGTTGTTCTCGTTTACTGAATTTGTATGGGGATGGGGGTAATCCAGAGGACAATGGAGAGAAAAGTGATATGGAGATTGGCTTCCAAAAGTTGGGGTGGCATATATAGACCAAACAATAAAAAATATGTGTCATTTTCTAGAGTAATTATCCAGAAAGGATAATAAGATGAAACCTAGCAAAGACTGTCAAAATTCAGTCAAAGGTAAAAATAACCAAGACAATCCTATTAAGTCTAAAGGATAAGTTGTAGAGAAGGTCCAGAGGGTTGAGCAGGTCCAGAGAACCAGAGGAGATAGTCATGAAAGAGAAGAGCAAGGCTGTTTTTTGTTATTAGGCTGTTTCAGTGAACAACTCAGCCTTCATCCCAACCTGTTGACATGTTCCAGATGTAAAAGAATGGCTTTAGAACAGTGTTTCTTTGAACTCAGAATTCTGAGTTGAACTTCACACATCTTAACATTGCTGAGGTTAAGAAAACATCAACGCTGCTTTAGAGGTAGCATTGACTAGCTGTGGGATGGCTTCATGATGAAGATGAAATGGAGTTTGAAGGGTTCCAAGATGGACACAAAAAGAGCAAAGCTAATATAAAGTGATGTGCATTTCAACAGAAATATCCTAACTTCATCAGCATATTTGAGAAATTTGAGCTGCCAGTATCTGATCAAGGAAGCTTTCTTGAATAGATAGTTCCATGAAAAGTAATTTAAACCCCATTAGGTTTTTGTTTTTTTCCAGTAAACATCTCTGGGAACACAAATGTCTGGATATCATTCCAACCTCATTGGGTAGCATTTATATTAGAAGTGTTCAGAAGTACTCCTAATTTTAATGATGCCTGAATTGTGTTTAACAATGCAAAATAGTGCAAGTGAATTATTAGGCACACAAAACAAAATAAAATATCTTTGTAAATATGTAGTTTATTTTTATTTATTTTATTTATTTATTTGATTTGTCAATCGCTTACAAAATAATAGGTATGAGTATGAACATGAGTAAGAATACAGAAAATAGGTACGATTAAATGGGGACAATAGGACAGGGACGGGAGGCACAATGGTGCACTTATGCAAGCCCCTTACAGACCTCTTAGGAATGGGGTGAGGTCAATAGTGGGGGTTTGAGGATGTAATTACATAGTCTGCATTCCAGGCATTGACCACTCTGTTGCTGAAGTCATACTTTCTGCAATCAAGTTTGGAGCGGTTAACATTGAGTTTGTATCTGTTGTGCGCTCTTGTATTGTTGCGGTTGAAGCTGAAGTAGTCATTGACTGGTAGGACATTGTAGCAGATAATTTTGTGTACTATGCTTAAATCCAACCATAGGTGGTGTAGTTCAAGATTATCCAAGCCCAAAATTTCAAGTCTGGTGATATAGGGTATTCTGTTGCGAGCAGAGGAGTGTAGTACTCTTCTCATGAAATACTTCTAGACTTGCTCAATTGTATTAATGCCTGATATACAATGTGGATTCCAGACAGATGAGCTGTATTCGAGTATTGGTCTAGCAAAGATTTTCTATGTCCTAGTTAGCAATTCAATATTTCCAGAGGAGAAGCGTCGTAAGATTAGATTTACAACTCTTAATGCCTTTTTGGCCATGCTGTTACAGTGAGGTCTGGCGCTTAGGTCATTAGATATGAGTTGTACCATCATCACACCTCATAAAGTTATTATTAGAATTCCATAAAGATTTAAGAAACCGTAAAATAGTAAACCTTGGGCTGATTTTATTAATTAGTTTGGGGAGAATTTTTTATTCATTTATTTGGGATACCCCCTATTTTCCAGTGACTTGGAGCAAATTTTAAGGATTGGATGGATGAATGAAGCTTTTGGTCAACTTGGGATGCCTTGAGGTCACAAATGGGTGCTGGAGGATGCCAAGTGATCCATGTTCTGTTTTAGAGAATTTAAAGATACAATAATGTAAAGATATACTGTTTCTTCACAGGCTTGTCCCCCTGTGTCTCTTGATGTTTGTACCTTGAGGATGCAGCTTTTTATAGGACTGAAAGCCATCTCTCACTTCAAACACCATATAATCATTTTGACAAAAGCAGATTCTGAGGATATTCTAGAGAAAAAAACACTTAAACAAAGATTCCTGTAAGTATAAAGGTTTTGAGTTTTATGGTGGAGGCAAGATTTTGATGTTTGGGGTCAAAAGGAGGTTACTCAGCAACTGATCATCTTGAACATATATTCTTGCCTTTCTATTGCTATTGAAAGAATTCTAAAATAGCTGACAAAATTATTATAGTTGTAAATTTAAAATTCACAAGTGTGTATGTATCCTTTCAGTTACCGAAAGGCTGATAACATCAAACCCAAGGTTCCCCCAGAATCTGAATCCGGATGGAATTTGTATATTGTGAACACAACTTCAACTCTCCAACTATACAAAGAAATGGTACTGTAGTATTCTGCATTTATTTCATTGACTTCTAGGAATAGGATAATGTATTGTGGCCTAACGTAAACCTGAAAGTGACCCCTTTTTCTGCTTTAGGTAGAATACAGCAAGACCTATGAAAATGTAAGAACAGAGAGTTGTATTCATCTCTTAAGTGAGGCTCACTTGCTAGTCAGAGCAGCTTTAATGGATCCTGCTGTGAAAGAATTGGAGGAGAAGGAAGCTCTACTAGCAGCATTTCGTGAGAGTTGTGCTCTTCTTGGAGACTGTTACAGCAGGTTTGAATATTTTGTGCAAGAAAAATCTTTATTCAGATCATATCAGGGAGGGAATTATACTGGGAACTTCATTGGAGAATTGTCTTAAAGACCATGCAATGCTTTAGAAGCCGCCATAGTAGGATAGCACTACTATGCTCTTCTCTTAAACAAGATTAAGTAACTGCTGTACATCTTCAGCTTAGCTAACAGAAAATAAGGGAGAATAGGTCAGCCCAGGATATGTTTATGTTATATATATCAATATATTATCACATATACATCCACGGTGTGTGTCTGTGTGTGTACATATATATATTGATACCATAATCCTTTGCAGGATGGAGTCTGGGCAAGTGAATGGAGCTAGCAGAGTGTTTAATGGCCGGATGCCCTTCCTGTCACCAATGTGGAATTTTTTGTTCAGCAGATATATTCTCATTGTGCCCAGAGAGAGAAATATCTTCCTCTACCTAGGATTGAACTCACAGCCTCCTGATTATGAGGCGAGACCTCCACCTGTAGGCCACCGCACCACTCTTATACACAACACACACACACACACACACACATACACAAATCGAAGATTTCAACTGATTTGGACTGCAAGTCCCATAATCTTTAATGATAGCAGAAAATGGGAGCTGTAGTCAATTCATTTCGAGAATGCAGAATGTCTAGGAAAATAAAGGACTTTGCAATAAATCTCCCAGTCCACACCTTTTTGTTTGTTTTATTTAGGATATGATTAAGATTGCAAAATAAATCTGATCTACTAGCTATGTGTCTGTAGTTTCAGCACAAGACTATTGTAAAACCAACTCTAATTTTGGTTACCCATACAGAGAGATGTTTGTTTTATTAAAGTGCTTGTCTTAAATGGATTTTAATGCTTTTTTTGTTGACTTCTATGCTTTCAGGTTTGACACTAAAGACTTCCATCTTACTCTCCCTTACTATAAAATGTCCAGCCTTTCTATATCTGACATTCTGAAGCGAGTAACATTTGAAGATAAAACACAGAAGTATGAAAAAGGTTTTATATTCTACTTAAAGCATTCCTTGTATGAAGACATAGATGAAAAGCTAAATGAAGTAAGATGATGGATTTCTTTGGTTCACCTTTCTCCATAAGAAGGTTCATGTCTTGTGTTGACTCTTTTCTTCCATTCACAACAATGAACAGAGTCAACAGAATAAATCAAGCATTTAAGAAAATTAGTAGGACTAACTTCTGTTACTGTTGGCCACCAGAATGTTAAATAAATATTCAGGGAAACACCATGGCAAGCAATTCCACTGGGGTAGTAGAGGACTTCCCAGAGTAGTTTATATTCTGGTAAATGGCTGCAATCTATAAGTTTCCTTTGACAATTCTGCAAATCTACAAGTGTTCTTTGTGAATGTAGCAACTACATGCTCTCAAATTCCTAATACTGTTGTGTAGATTCCTCCAGAAACTACCTATTTAGATAAGTATATGGGAAAAGTTGGATTTTGAAAGAACTGTTGTAAATTATGAGCATTTCATAATTCAAAGATCTATCCAGTTCTCTCATGAGCTGTTTCAGATTATTTTTGCTGTTTTATTATGACCTTTTAAAGAGTTTGATAACTGCTGGTTATATTTCTGTCTTGTGTTATAAATAACTAGAATTATATATATGTTTGCATTTTTAGGATTTGGCTGCAAAAGTACTTCAGATATTCCACCGTGCTGAGCCAAACCAGATACCTCACATCCTCTGCAGTCTTTGCATGAAAAATGTGTGCCCTGAAATGGCAAAGGAGTATCTGGAATTGATAGAAAACATGGCACCATCTGTTCTGGTGACATTGGCCAAGGCTTCAGTGGCTCTGAAAAAGGGGGATTGGGATAGATGTAAAAAGGAGCTGGACAGCCAAGCAGAGGTACAGATCATTGGGGGATACATTACATACATACATATAGACATACAGACATACACCATTACAGCATGAAAGAGGTAAGTGGTGCCAACATTCTTCCAACAATTATGTTTGGAAGTATATCTCCCATGAAGCTCCCCTCCCTGGCAGACATTTCAGTCTGTTCACCTTTTTGGAGAAGAATAGAGATACTGGAGCAGAGCTCTCATCTGCAGACTGAAGGCCCTAGACCCCAGTATCTCAGATGATGGAAAAAGATTCCTATTGCAGCTATTCCTATATAGCGCAACATTCTAGGGCAGGCAATATACTTAGCATGGGGAAAGTTTCCATTATCCTCCCTGTGGCAGTCAAAGTGACAAAGGTTTGTCTTGGCATTCTGTCCTAAGCTTGAAAGAATGATTCCTCTTTTCAAGAGGGGAGAGGAAATGGCTGTTCTATTTCCTTTTAGTTATGTTGTTTTTGCAATTCACATCATTAGAGAATAAAGATAGAAGTTACATTGCACAATAAGAGATCTGGTGGATGAGTTTTTGCTCTGGTTCTTTTTTAGATGAATATAATATTCCTCTTCTGTCCTTACATTTTTCTTAGTTTTTCATATTCTAATGACCTTAGGATATCATGAACTGTAAATACTGTAACTCCAAACCAAAATTGCCTTTATGATTGTGATCCACCACATCAGGAGAATACCAGGTTGTGTTTTATGTATCAAAAAATCAATTGTGGACCCCACGTGTCTTTGCTGCAATATTGTTGGCATTCTTTTATCCCAAACTTCTATACATAATATTCTCTACATTTTCTTGGCAAAATCTAGTCTGTGGGGTTGAACAAGTTTTTGTCTCATCAAACAGTGGAGTCTCAGAAAGTGAAACGCGTCTTTTAGGTAGGTCCTGTTCAGCCATGGATATAATGAACAGCAGGAACTGAAAACAACCTTTTTTCACATTCTTTCCAATAAGAACTACTCCTAGTGGGGATATTTACAAATAAGGATTGTATTATTTGCAAATCAGTTTTTAACTCTAGTTTTCAGATCTTGGACTGCGGATGAATTTGATACCCCAATTTAAAGCTGTTGCTGGTGACCGAGTTAACGTTAATTCAAAATGTTTTTAATCTACTTTCAGTTTTATGTGTGTAAACCCAGTCAGTAGTAACTTAGTAAAGCATGATTAAAACTTCTTCCGTACAATGTGTGAGTGTAAACCACAGCAATTGATGTATCATGGCTTGATCATTCTGCAAAAGAAAGCAGTAAAACATTGAGTCCAATAGCTTGTTTACTGTGTGATATCCATTAACATTAGGAATACCATCTGCATCCTGGTCTTTTGAAATAAGTATAATCTAGGCATATATTTTTGCTGGTGTTTTTTTTTAATTAGATTGAGAAAAATGAATTAGATACCATTCAAAATGTAGAGTGGAATCCACCAACTAGATCTTGTATTTTATCTGCAGATGAAATTGGTATGTGGTTTTATTCAGGAGCCAAGACTTTTAAAACAGCACAATAAAGGACAAATGTTCCCAACTGAACTTGCTTTGTACCTCAAAGAGACCAGACCTGGATTTCTCCTAGCTTCATTATTGGCTTTACATGAAAATAATAAAATGGAACTGGAAGAAGCAAACTCTTATATCAAGGTTTGTTGTGCAACATTTTTTGCTCCTTTTATTTATATATTTATTTAGGACATTTATCTGGCGGCCTACTCACTCATAGTGACTCTAGATGGTTTATAAGCAATTAAAACACAGTATATAAAATAAAATAAAAAGCATAGCTCCCACACACATCCCACCCCTTATAGTTAAGATCTGCAAAAATAGTTCTGTTTCTAGACTGTAGACTTTATGATTAAAGGATATATAAAGTTTGGAGTCATTTTTTTTCTCATACTCTACAAAAGAGAAATATAAAGAATTCAATAGTCTAATGCATGTATTAGATAATTAATACAGCCAAAGATTGATTTGAATGGCTATCACTGAAAAGCATGGCTTTTAATGGGAAAATGGCATAGCATTGAAAATGATAACGCAATATCAATTCTAAGTGTAGATTTTTTTTTCTGGGAAGATACATCTATTTTTTCCCAACTTTGTACTTACAGCTGGTGTAATAGTTTGATTAATGCATATCAATTAACCAAAGTAAGGCTTGTTTGCAGTTCATTATTCACTTTGCATTTAAAGTAAAGAATGAACCCACCAATTTAAAGCTTAGCAGTATTTAAAACAAACTGATTGAACACTGAAACAATCTTTGATAGCCAGTGACCTCCTCAGCTTTTGAGGGGAAAAGAGCTGCAGTGGTGGACAGTGTAAGTAATTCCTTTTTATATTTTTGGAATGCAGATGCTGAGTGGTAAAAATGAAGACGCTGTTCCCCAACTCTTGGTAGACTTCTGGGAAGCTTTGCTTGTAGCACGTACTCAGGAAGAGGTTGCACAGAAGTTGCATTTTAAACTTGCTACACAGTATATTTGGAGACTGTCCAGGAAAGAGCTTCCTGACACTGAGCCTCTAAAAACCACTGAAGATTTGGTAAAGTACTTTGGATAGGGAAGAGAGAGACTGCACGTCAGGATAAATAGCAATTCTTGCCTTATATACAGCCCCATAGTGCTTTACAACACTCTCTGAGTTGTTTACAGAGTCGGCATATTGCCCCCAACAATTTGGGTCCTCATTATACCAAACTCAGAGGGATGGAAGGCTGAGTCAACCTTGAGCTGGTCTGGATTGAACTCCAGACTGTGGGCAGAGTTAGCCCGCAATACTGTGCCATCGTTTCTTATTTTTCTACGATGTGCTCCCAGCTGTATTAGAGATTTGTATATAGCATGGGCAATCACAGAAATATTCTGTGATCTTACTAATATAGCAAAGGGAAATTGGGCTCTGTAATTCTTTACATGGTTTAATTTGAGAAAAAAATGATATATTAAATCCCCAAATATCAGTGAAAAATGATATTTGTTGATACTGTTATAAAATTGTTATTTCCTGTCTAAATGCACAGTTAAAATATCTAATCATCAAAGGCCTTGCATTTCTTAAGAACATAGTGCAGTATCAAATGGTAGATTATTATGGTTATTTTTAATTAAGCAAAGATGACTATCTTTGCAGTAAATGTTAAATTGAATTAGAAACCTGAATGTAAACATGCTTGCAGTGCAAATGACTGTCTTTGTTTTTTTACAATATCTTTTGTTTGGTTCTTTCAGATAAATTCCTGCAGTGATTATGGACTTATATTTTCTTGGATTATATTCATGATGTCATTAGTACCTCTTCCTGATTGGAATTCATGTGATGACCTTTCAAAATTACAAGTATGGCACCTTTGACATCTGTGCAAGTATAGGCCAATTAAACTAATAATAGATAAACAACTTCTGAAATGAAGAGGAATAGAACTACCAATAATAAATAAATTTCCCCTATTCTATGATCAATAGGTTTATGATTAGGGTAAGATAAGGGAATAAAACAATAGATAAACCTTGAAATATTGGAATGAATAGTAGAAATCCATGTTCCTGAGTGTCTCAATATTAGCTTTCAACATAGGCATACTAGATTCAGAAGTTTACTAACTTTTTTAAAAACATGTTTCCTTAATGAACTGACAGTGTCCTGCCATGGAGGAGATAGTTGACAACAAGTGTTACATCTTGTGTAGGAGGTAAACCTCTTTCTCCTCACATTCCTTATACTTAAATTGTCTGTATCCCAAGGACAAATGATTGTCCCTAACAAAAAAAAGGTGATCAAATCTGGGCTATAAAAATCCAAATGATCCAGATGGCAGTGGAGAGTTAATTTTATTTTGTTTTGGTATCCTTTGCTGATATCCAATGGTTGCCCAGATTTTTGCAAGCCAAATGGTTTGGTTTTGAATCACATTATTTCTGTTTTGTGGATATCCAAATTAAATAGTAGTTGCTCAAAGGAGCTAAATTTATTCCAGTTACCTTTTCAAAGGTATATATGGATGCTAAAATGCCTACCAGTGTTAAGAACCTTTAAAGAAATGTTTAACTGATTGAAAGCTATCCTGTTTTCTCAACTACAGTCAATTTATTAATGACTGTGATTACTTGTTTAAAGATTAATGGCTGTCATTACTTGTTTAAAGATAAGGCTATCCTATAGAATTTATTTAAAAGAATTGACTGTTCCAGTTGTTGTATAATAACTGAAACCTGTAATTAAAGAGTAATTAAACTTCTTCTGGAGCTCTGATGGGGAGAGAAAGAAAGAGATGAATGAAGCAAGGGGCAGTACAAAGACTCTAGAAGTTTCTAACCATAGGATACCAGTGTGGAAGGGTCCCTTGTAGACAGAGAAGTAGAGTGCTAACTAGCAAATAAGAGAAAAGGTACACTGGATTCTCCAAGCTATAGAGCAGGAGTATCAAACTCATGTCATCATGGTGGCGTCACATGATGTATCAGGACTTTTTTCCCTTTCGCTAAACCGGGCGTGGGTGTGGCCAGTGCGTGACACATCCAACCCACAGTGGGAGTTTGACAGCCCTGCTATTGAAAATTTGCTAAAATGTATTCTCCCCAGTTTCTTGAGCATTCAGTGACAAGGCTTGAAAACAAAAACATACCTCAGCAGTCCAGATCAAGAAATAACAGTAAAGCTCAAAATAAAATAACCAAGGACATAAACGGGTATGGCAGCGGGAATTTGAGGTTTGCTCTTCTGCAGGCAGTTTCAATAATTCTTCCAACCTCAATGATGAGCATATAATCAACTCCTTACTTGGGTAGTCTCTGATCCTTCCCTCCCTCTGAATAAAGTTTTCTAGCATAAGGAGCCAGCTCTCTTTTCTTCCCAGCTAGGCACCATAGGAAGATGGGAAGCTGGTTTATGCAGGCCTGGTAAGGATAATCAAGCAGGTGCTTTCTCTACATGTTCCCTTTGTCTTCTTCTGGCATCTACTGTCTCCCTCAATCTTCTCCCCAGTTCTCCTCTCCCAGATCAGCATTTAGTCTGCAGATCCTCTGCCCTTTCTCCAGATCAGCATTTAGTCTGCAGACATTCACAGTCTGGTGCTGTGCCTTACTCACAAGAATGCTGATGTTTTCCTTCAGCACAGTCTCCTTCAAAAACCTGCTTTAAGTACTGTGTCCTCACACACACACAAACACACATACACCACACACACTGGAACCACTTGGCGGATAAAATACTTTGGATCAATATGAAAAATATCCTAGTATTAAACAAGGAAAACTGTTCTAGACTGAGCAAAATAGTTATTCCTGGCTATTGTTTTAAAGACTAGCATAAAATAGCAAAGGGAAATGTAAAATTAATGTAAGTCAAAATCAAATTTGTAGTTGGTTCAATTCTGTACTGTCTTAGTCAGTCTTGTAGTTCTTAAAGATGAAAACCTCAGTGAGAGCTATAACTTTTAAATCCTTAAGTTCAGAAACTTCATATCAAGATAAGTTGCTCATTGTGTTTTCCATTTTGGTGTGCTTTTCCAGACCTAACATGTCTGTTCTCCTGTTCTTTCTGCAGTCTCTCTTATGCAGTCCATCCTTCAGAATATCCTCCATTCTCCCATTTGTGAAGAATATTCCAGAAGATTCTATTTCTGGTCTGAGCATACACGTTCTTTGTGATACATGTTTAGGACAGCATGAAGCAGGTATTGACAAACTTCTGGATAGGTGCCCTGAAGCTGTCATACCTTATGCCCAGCATGAGCTGAGGGATGAACATCAGGTGAGTGTTAATAATCATAGCTCTCTCTCACTTTTTTTTTGCCCTTCTAAAACCAAACTATTGCAGTTTCATTTTAATAGTTTCACAGGATCATTTTATATCAGTCCCTTATATGAAATTTTATTGTACCATATCTAGTCAACGGTTTTAAAACTCTGAGCAAAGTGACCCCATTATATTGAATGTGGGAAGTGCTTAACTTCTATTTCGTTAAAATGGTGAAATGGGGATACTTACCAGAACACATGGTACAAAATTTTGAAGATTATAAAGTATTTTTATGGTTTCCTCAATGTAGTTTCACCAGCCAGATGTTTGCTTGCCTTATCATATCTCATACTTAAAGTAATTGTGTTCTCCAGAAATATAAACAAATGTTTTGATACTTGTTGGCTGTATAAATTATGCAGGTGTTTCTTAACAATAACCACATATATAGGTTATGCTGACAATAGATCATAGATGTGTATGGAAGTATATTGGGTTACTAACTCTGTGTGTGCATTTTAAGAATCAGCAGGGAGACTTGTATGTTCTAACCTTGCCCAATTTCAGTTGTTTTGAGTCCATACTTCTTAAATTTTCTAACCACTAAAACCAGCAGGCCATCTGATTGAAAAAGGCTAGTTCAGGCAATGCTCACTGACATTTTTAGTTCTAAAATGAAAATGAAGCAATATGTGAGGGGTCCTTGCTTGTTTTCTTGCAGACGTTTCATTGCCCAAACCAGGTAACATCATCAGTGCTAGTCATTGTATTTATTTCACTTAAACAGAATAACTACCCTGAGGTTCTGAATTACTCCAATAATTTAGGTAGGAGACAAGATGATAAATAATATTCAGAAAATGAGTCTTCAGGAGTTATCGCAGGCCGTTGAATGCCTCTCCCCTTTCTCTATGCTCTTCGGCACTTAGAATGGCACTGGAAAGAGCTCAGATCCCACTTCATTAGTTGATAAATCTTGAATCTCTCCTGAACAAATCACATGTGGAACACAGTAGCAGCAAGTCTGACATATTTAAAGGTTTGCTGTTTAACATGCTTACTGCCATGCTTTTATGAGTAAAAATAAACAGCAGCCGTAAAAGAAGAAGAGTTATATTCCTTTAAGAATAACACTCTTGATTTTCTACCTGGATCTTGTTTTCTGACTGGCTTTAGGCTTTATGGTGGAACAAACTTCTTCCTGAACTCTGTAAACGAACTAGGCATGTTGGTGAAAACTACCCTGTATTTCTGTCATCCCTACAAGGTAACAAAATGAGTTATAGCACAGCAGAAATGTAGAGCTTTTGCAGTACATAGAATAGCCTTTTGCTCTTAAGAGGATTTTGTGGAGTGTTTACACTTTAGTGACAAAATTGAAGAACTGGATTCAGTGCAAATCACACATTTTTTTTTGTTGTTGTTAGATGCAGATCACAAGCAACAGTCTTCAAGGAGCAATGTTTGCTCATTCATTTATTAATTAAAACTTTATACCACCCATTTTATCTCCATTAAAAGTTGGTGGAGATACAGGTAGTACTCAAATTATGCCACAATTGGAACCAGAATTTCGGTTGTCAAACAGTGCAGTGGTTAAATGAGCGCACCCAAATTTGCTATCATTTTTTGCCACAATTGTTAAAGAAATCAGTATAGTTCTTAAGAAAATCAGTACAGTTCTTTAGCGAATCCAGTTTCCTGCCCCATTGTCTTTCCCAGAAGATGGTTGGGGGCAGAGGTGGTATTCAGCAGGTTCTGACAAGTTCTGGAGAATTGGTAGCGGAAATTTTGAGTAGTTCAGAGAACTGGCAAATACCACCTCTGACTGGAGATTTTACAGTATCCTTCCCCTGCCATGCCCACCAAGCCACGCCCACAGAACCGGTAGTCAAAATTTGAATCCCACCACTGGTTGGGAAGGTAGTCAGGACCCTATAAATGCATGTTGGTTGCCAAGCTCTCAAATGTTGATCGCTTGACTGATGCTATGGCGGTTATAAGTAGAAGGATTAGTTGTCAGTTGATCACTGTTTTTAGTGCTGTTATAAGTTCAAGTGATCATTAAATGAATGGTTGTAAGACGAGAACTAGCTCTAATCATGGGTATTAAACACAATGTTTGTATCCTTTTTGTCCAGAAACTTTATCGGTCATTGCCACAGCACTGGAATTGAGAGACTTCCTTAATGTTTTACCTGAAGATGGGAATGCAGCATTCTTCTTGCCCCACTTGCTTCAGTGCAGCAGAAGATTGGTGACTTAAACATAAGGAGAAGTATCTGCTATCTTGGATTGGTCTTGTGGGGTGCAAAGTTACGCAAATGAACAAAACTTCATGATGCAACTATTAACACTTTGAATGCTGGATACTCTAAGCATATCCCCATGTACATGGGAAGAGTAAGGTTTGATGGATCTCTACAGATTGTCAAGTGATCTGTGGTAACAGTACAGTACAGGTAAACTGGTGATTCTCAGCTTTGGCAGCATGAAGATGTCTGGACTTTAACTGCCAGAGCTCAGAAACACCGAGCTAATTAGAAATAGAAAATTAGAAATAGAAAATAACAATCTATCAATCATAACTAAGCTTCCATACAAAAACATCCACTCTAAATTTATTTTAATTATCAGTAGGGATTGGGGAAAAAATCTGTCAATATTTAGAGTCATGCTCATAACAGTAGAACCATTTTTCCAATTTAAGAATTCGGCTGAAGTTCATAACTTCATTTGTCTGTTGTCACTGCTGTAAATGATAGAAAGTAAAAGTCAGTGCTTTCAAAAAATAATGTAGTTTTAGCTAATATATACTTTAATATTCTTAATATAGCCACAAAGTATGTTCATTTTTCCCCCTTCATTCATATAACAAGGACTAGAATTTTAAGAAACTAGTGCTTTAAAAGTATTTGTTTATGCTAAAACTAGGCAAGGTGGTATACTGCAAATATTTGTGTTCAACTCCCAGTTGGCATGGCTTTGAACTATAAGTTCTGTAGTCCAAAACTCCTCATGAATATCAGGAGTTCATCAGGTTTCATATACAGTGTAGCCTCTGAAACCTGACTTTGTGAATAAGTTCAAAGAGAAGACAGCTATTCGTTTGCAGACACCAGTTTAACTAGCAAGCTTTATCCAGGTCTGCTATTATTTCAAGACATGGGGTATTACTTATTTTCACAGTTTCACTCCTTTTCAAAATGGCAATGGAAACAACCTTAGGAGATGATAGATAGATGATTGATAGATAGATAGATAGATAGATAGATAGATAGATAGATAGATAGATAGATAGAAGTATGTGTGTGTTAATAAAGAAAGCAGAGATCCAAATTTCTTCCAATAGAATAAAACAAATGCAAATATGCAAATTTTAAAGAGATACAGCTAATCAGCACTATGAGATTAGAAACTCTACCAGTTTACTTGAACAAACATACACCTTCATTGGAGAGATAATGGTTGCAGGGGTTAAAACGTTGGACTTGAACTGCAGACTCCCAAGTTAAAACCTCTATTTGATTTCTGTAGTTTGGCGAGGGAGATAAAATCCAGAAAAAAAGTTGGATAAGTAAAATTATACTTCCTTTCACTGGCCATTTTATGGGTCAATTTTTCCCAGCCACCATGATGTCATCCTTAAAATACCTGTCTGGCACTGCATTGGCTATACTGCAGATAGATTCTAGGAAATGACTTTCAAAGCTGAATTGCATCGGGTGGAAAAACTGATGCATTTCATAGTTTTTTCTCCTTCAAGCAAATTAATATTTACCTTTAATTTGGGAGCACAGAGTAAGTAGTTTCCATGCCAGCATGGATGTGGTCAGTCACATGACAGTGCAGTAGCCACGTCCCGGGATATTTTGGCCACATCTCAACAGTTTGAAATGTCCCAGGGAACAGATCATAAACATCTCCTCGGAAAGTTCTATTGTACTTTTGGAGAGAGAAAAAATAACGATATATTTATGTAGTTCTTCTAATACTAATTAATTCATTGGAAGAATGCAACAACATGAATAAAGGGCATCATAATATTTTAAATATTTTAACATAAAGTACTTTCTAACTTAAGAAAACTCAAACATTTAAACATCTATGATTACAGACCTTCAATTACTACCATACTTAAAGCCAATTAATATTAGTAGAAAGTGGACCAAAGTGAAACCTGTTCTGTCCTCAAGGGAAAAATAATACTGCAGATATGGAAGTTGGATTATTGGAAAAATACTAGACAATGGCACTACTTTTTTCATGCATTTGTCAAAAAGTTCAACTGAATCCGTATACAATTTCCAAATTTACCTATGGATGTTAGGCCACTTACTAGACAACATGCATCCTTACCAGATAAATAGAATATATTTTGCTCCATGGTTAAAATCACAAAGGGAGGAAAGAGAAAGAAATGTAAAATTGAAGGATAAAGTCGCCGCTTCAGTTCCCTAGCTGGAAACTATAAAACAATGGCCAGCCAAAATGGGCAGACTTAGTTTAACTGAGTTAGTTATCTGACTTAAGAAAGTTTTGTGTGTTCAGTTGTCCGACACAGTGCTTTATCTCTTAGCTAGGTATGTACCTTCTTTTTAGTTCTATCTTTAAAAACACTTATTTTTACCTTGTAATCGAAGCTATGGCCATGGAAATGTGCTGTGTGCATATCAACTTCATTCCCCATTCCTAACAAGTACCAGTTTACTTTGTCTCCAACATGCATTGTAAGACCATGCAAGTTTCCAAACACTTTTCCGTTAATGGCTAAAGGGAAAAAAAAAAATTGTTATAGAAGTGCTGTTTATTTCCAGTTACTGAGCTACATATCAATCTAATAAATTTAGTACAAACACCAAGCCTATCAAAAGCTTAACCGAAATCATTGCCCAAGATAATTAGAGGTGATCCGCTAACTCAATTTGAGGTCAAAGATCAGAGCAATCTAAAAATCCTTCTAATTACCCTTGGACAATCCTCCATGATATGCATTCAAGAATCAATGGTTAAGTTGCAGAGTTTTGTCTCTGATATCAATAGACTGAGCTTAGTATAGTTGGCACCATAGTGTTTATATGGTGTTTATGTCAGGACAGTAGGCCCAGTAGGTCACATAAGAAACCAAAATTCTTGTGGAGGGCTACTGCCTTACTCAGGCGAAACAAGTTCACCAATATCTTTATGTTGTCTATCACAATCTTACAAATACTGCAGTTTTCCACTGCTAGTGTGTACGTGTGTGTTTGTGTGTGCGTATGCATGGGTGTGACACAGAATACAAAAATGCATTTTTGCCCATCTATGCATTATGTAGTGCCACTTTAAGTGATGTGTGGTAATTGTTATTCCAAAATACTGGAATTCTGTATCCAAGCATACCATGCATTTTATTGCTTTCAATGAATTCCTCATCTTCCTTGTTTACATCTCCTGGATTGGTGGAATACAACTTGATATTCTCATCCAAGTACCATGATTCATTTTCATCAAACACCAGAAAAAGAAGAGCAAACTGCAGAAGTTTGGGGTGTTGAATTAGAGGAAAAACTTCATTCCGACAGACAACAAGTGTTCCTATTAATCCACTATTTAGGTCCTGAAATAAAATAATAATAATAATAATGATCACCTTGTACCATCACTAGGACAGTATGTCAAAATAGCCACATGTATATATTGCTTTTCATTTGATTTTATGGAACCTATACATGATTTAATGTGGATCCATCCTTTTATATTAACATTCATTTTAAATAGAAATGTGTTTCCTGCTAACATTTGTGGTACTTTTAAGTTGCCCCTCCCAAAAAATCAAGTAATGTATATTAAAACAGTTCCAAATGTAAATCCGAAAATAATATTTATTCTCTCACAAACAGCTGAACTGGAATTTCCCTAGAAACCTGGTAATTCTGAGATATGATATATGATAGATATGATGATTTGAGATAGTCATTATTTCTCAAGTGAGCATTCGATTTGTTTCTAAGATTGGTTACTATACCTGGTGTCACTAGTTGACCTCAATATTTAAAAGTAGTCCTATTTTTTTTCATTGTGTTCCTTGACTCACATTACATCAGCTTGCAGATCATTTGAATTTTTAGCTATCGAAATAAAGTAATCAGCACAGAATCTCCATCTCTCCTGTTAGAAAAAATCTCCACTCCAGAATCAATGAGATCTGCAAGGCCAGACCAGCTGCCTTTGTTAATCTTCCAGTTATTACAAAATTATAGAATGTTGTACTTGTTAATGTACCTAAAATATTGAGCTACAGTAGAAATCCCAGAAAAGAGAACAACTTTAACCATAGTCACTATGAATTTACCTTAACTCTATCCACAGTGGAATAATATGCCCAGGGAATACAGGTAGAATCTCTTTCCTCAGGACCAGATCTTGCTGGGATTTTCCAGATATACTCCTCGGTTGCACCTGAATGAAACATACATTGTAGACATGGATTTATTTTTATATTTTGTTTTTTCCTTTGTAATCAGTGTTTTAAAAATGAACAATGGAAGTCCTTTTTATATAAAGTTTGCAATCTTGCACTATTGGAGAAAAGTTTTGCAATACAAGCTAAAAAAAGGAGCTGGTTTTCTGTTTTACTATTTATAGTTATTTTTTAATTTCCTCCCACACAAAATAGGATGGACTGTCTACTGTTTCCCTTTGTCTTTCTGTGACACCTTCTGTGATCATAAATTTTAAAGCACTTATTCAAAGCTAATTTTCTTAAAACAAAGCCGAAACCTATGATTTAGACATTTTAGGACAATTTTAAAGGTGTACAATTTTCTGCAGTCCTAGCTGAGATAAAGTCCCATTGAATGCATGTGGCTATTTCTCCTCAATGGATAGATGCGCAGTATGCACACTGTACATCAAAAATAATATGAATATGGATACTAGTATTTTTTTCCTTTCAAATAGCAAAATAACGAATCAAATCCATGCTTTTGAGTAGATATCAAGGAAAAGCTGCACAGAATAGCATTAACATTTGCCTCGTACAATTTGCATTTAGGTACACAAATAGAATGTTTTAAAAAAAAAACCTATAAATTACTTTTCCATGAAAACTCAATAAACTCCAAATCCAAACTTTTATAAGTCATTACAATTGATACCAAAATGGAATCAACAGAATTATACGATTATGATGTTACAGTCTTTCAACTGAATATACTGCAAGTTCAATTATAACTAACCAAGGGTTGAACTTGGTTAGTTCTTTGACTACAGATCATGAAACAACATAGGCTACATTCTGGAAACATTCTGGAAAACATTCTGGAAGAAGACAATGCAAAGAGTTTTCTAGTATCCAGAAAACAATATGGACAAAGTCACAAGGAACCTAGGTCAATTTAAAAATGCAACATTTTCAACATCTTTTTTTTTCTTTTTCATTATCAACTCAGGACAGATATAATGAATTAATGTACCTGGATTTGTTTCTGTTACAAATGGATACTCAGTTTTTATTCCTTGTGCATGGATAGAATAACTCCTAGAGGCCATGTTCTTGAAAACAATTCTAATTTTATCTCCAACATTTGTAAGAAGCAGAGGACCTTTGAAGAGGTAAAAATAAGTATATAAAAATATAAAGTAAAATAAAATTTCTTCCATAA